TCTCTCCCTCCCTCCCTCCCTCCCTCCCTCCCTCCCTCCCTCCCTCCCTCCCTCCCTCCCTCTCTCTCTCCCTCCCTCCCTCCCTCCCTCCCTCCCTCTCTCCCTCTCTCCCTCTCTCCCTCTCTCCCTCTCTCTCTCTCTCTCTCTCTCTCTCTCTCTCTCTCTCTCTCTCTCTCTCCCTCCCTCCCTCCCTCCCTCCCTCCCTCCCTCCCTCTCCCTCTCCCTCTCCCTCTCCCTCTCTCTCTCTCTCTCTCTCTCTCTCTCTCTCTCTCTCTCTCTCTCTCTCTCTCTCTCTCTCTCTCTCTCTCTCTCCCTCCCTCCCTCCCTCCCCCCTCTCCCCCCCCTCTCCCCTCCCTCTCCCTCTCTCTCACACACACACACACACACACACACACACACACACACACACACACACTCTCTCTCTCTCTCTCTCTCTCTCTCTCTCTCTCTCTCTCTCTCTCTCTCACACACACACACACACACACACACACACACACACACACACACACACACACACACACACACAGAAAAGGTCTCGTCACTTAGGTTCAGGTTCCGATAATTAACTCAAATCTGCCGGGAAGATGCTGTGCCCATTTTAGTATTTTTTTGTGAAATGTCTCTTCACAAAGTACTTCAATTAGTAGCCCTTTTGATCTAACCTGATTGCACTTTTCCTTGAATTGGCATGAATTGTTTTTTACTAATGCCATGAATATTGATGGTGTTATTTTTATGATAGTGATGATAATTACAATAATGTTATTAGCATTAGTGGCTGCAATACAAGATAACATCAAATATTTTCAAAAATCAAGGAAAAGGGTAAGCAGGTGAGACAGGTAGTACTCGTAATTGGCTCACTGGTGACTTGCAGAGCCATCTATGAAGAACAATAAATGTGAAGAACAATAAATAAAATAAACTCACAGTGGGCATGGCATACCTGTCAGTTTGGGGTTAATCCAGTCTGAGGACATTCCCAAGGTCTGTGGGTTCAGTCAGATCTGACCAGCTGATGTGATCTGACTGAAAATGTCACCATCTCTCCCAGTCTCTAACCCTGCAAATCATGTTATGCAATGCTAGCAACTATGCTTCTAGTCAGAAATTATCCCCTGTCCCCATTCATTATGGCTTTTAGGTGTACATTATGGATGAACAAAATGATAGAAATGAAAATAGAAATGCAGAGGCTTAGATGAATATTAAAGATGAATGAGGAACTATTCACTTCAAATTGTTTTTTATGTAGTAAGTCAATGAAATAGGTAAATAAGTCAACCCAAATATGCCAGGTGAGACTTTTTACATCTTGAAGTACAAAAAGAATAGCACCATACTGTATAGCTACCAGTCATAATTAATTAGTTTTCCCGTAAAAAGAAAGTATCAAGTCTCATTTTCTGCCAATTCGCGAGCATCCCCATTCTCTCCTGTAACCCCCCATTCCCTTTTTTTTTTTTTTTTTTTTTTTTATCAGTATCTTTAATCCACTCCCCCCACTCCCCTATTGCATGAACTGTGCAGAAGAGGCAAATGACGAGACCTTGTCAGCCTTTGCATGTCACTGACACACTCTTACACACACAACACATACACACGTATACGCACATGCGACAAACACACACACACACACAACACACGCATGCAACATACACACACACATACACGCATACGCATCACACACATACAGGCACATGCAACACACGCGCACACAAACACTCAACACACATCCACACACATGCAACACACACGCAACACATGCAACACACTAACAAATGCAACACACATACCACACATGCAACACACATACCACACATGCAACACACATACCACACATGCAACACACACCACACATGCAACACACATACCACACATGCAACACACATACCACACATGCAACACACACCACACATGCAACACACACCACACATGCAACACACACCACACATGCAACACACACCACACATGCAACACACACCACACATGCAACACACACCACACACATATACACATATACACATATATACATTTACACATTTACACATTTACACATTTACACATTTACACATTTACACATTTACACATATACACATATACACATATACACATATACACATATACACGTACACACACACACACACACACACACACACACACACACACACACACACACACACACACACACACACACACACACACACACACACACACACACTTTAATATATTTATTTATGACACTTATTCATGTATACACAGTAGCTTGTTAATATTGATTATTGTTGGAATAGTTGTCTGTAATTAGCTGATTATAAGCTATTATAAGAAGGTAATCTCAGGTTCGAGTTGTGTCTAATGGCTTAGCATAAATGGTGAATTGTCAACCATTCCCTTCACAAATGTGCTTAGAAGCATAGTCATGTGGACAAAGATTGCCTAATTAGAAGACTGCTAGGTGTACTCATAATAAAAATGTTTATGTGGAGCATTCAGTATA